GGTGTTCCATGAGAGGACTAAACACATTGAGATCGACTGTCACTTTGTCAGAGAAAAAATACTTTCAGGAGATATTGTTACAAAGTTTGTAAAGTCGAATGATCAACTAGCAGATATTTTCACTAAGTCTCTTACTGGTTCTCGTATTAGTTACATGTGTAACAAGCTTGGTACATATGATGTGTATGCACCGACTTGAGGGGGAGTGTTAGTTTACAGATATGTATAGTGTAGTCTTGTCCCACATTGGAAGATGAGTAATATCTCCTTGTAGTGTATAGTTATAAATAGGGACCTCTTGTAATGTATTTATCATCCAATATCAATAACATATTTTCTCATGTGCCTTCTCACAGATTCTAACGAATATACACCATAACATCCCTTTTGTCCTTTCTTTTTTGGGGAAAGATAACCCTGAAAAAAGTGATATCTTATTTCATTAAGAAGTCCTTAATGTTGGCAATTAGATTTCTAGGTTACAAGACTCAATGGGCTTTAAATTTGTTGAGAAAGATGGCAGTTAAATTCAATCCTAAAGAAAATAATATACCATAAGATTATTGGAAAGGAGGAGAGCACATGAAGCTAGTAGAAATGATACTATACTTCCTCTATCTGATTTTATATGACAATTATTATTGAATGATTGAAAAGTTTTTCATTGATTACAGTGTTCAAACATGTTAAAAATATCAGTTTCTAAATTATCTGGTTCTTTTGTAATATATAAATTTCATTGTGAATAGTCGAAAAATTAATGACAAAAATCACCTCAACAGTTGAATTTGACCTCTTGCTGTGAACCATGTCATTGCTTTTTGGATGGAGGGAGTAAAAGATTTCTTAACTTGATCAAGAGCCTTTAAAAAAAAGGTTCATGATTGGGGTTCTCAGTTTATACAATGTGATGTTGTACAATGAGATGTAACACGTGTAACCTTAGTGTTTCTGGTTGTGAGGTTTGAGGAGACCTTTCCATATGCTGCTTCTTTCAAAATTTGGCTGATCATGCAATCTGAGGCTTTTATGGCTATTCCACATTAATTTGTCTCTAGCTGATTCTTGTTGCTCTCTTTTAATATTTCATTTGAGACGTTCACATCCTTTTTAGGATTCTATAACTGTAGAATTCTTTGTCTACAGATTGTTGCATCTGCCACTCCGTCAAAGGCGAAAATGTATGCATCTTTATTTCTTCCTACAAGTGTAGAAGTTTAGGAGTAATAGACATTGTAAAACTGTCCTCTTAATTTTTGAAATTTGCTGTGTGAAAATCAGATCTGAAGGATTTATTTGGTGATGGCAAAGGAGGTTATTTCGAGTATGCGACAGAAATGACTGTAAGTTTCTTCTCGGTGTATAATTTTGTTTTGTTGGTTAGTACGTAACATGAGCATTCTGTTGCCGGCTATTCAGTAATTTACCTAACCTATCTTTCTTTAGGTAGAGTCCGATGATGATTGTGCAGATAACGAAGCCACATTGGCTAGGATGAACAGCTTTCTTGATGATGCGCTACGTTCTTCTTGTGAAGGAATCATGGTGAAATCCCTTGATATAGATGCTGGGTACACACCATCAAAGCGCACTGATGCATGGTTAAAGGTGTTGCCTCGAAGAGTGATGTATTGCATTAGCAAGATTAGAGCTCTAGTCCTAATCCTGGAACTTGTCTGCAGGTCAAGAGAGACTACGTGGAAGGACTAAGTGATTCCTTGGACTTGGTTCCGATTGGTGCTTGGTATGGGAATGGAAGGAAAGCAGGATGGTAATGATCAACTTTTCTTTTCTTTTCTTTTTGATTTTCTTATGCGGACAGTTAAGGCATCAACCTGCAAATTCACTCAAATTTGAGCATCTTTCACCCAGAAATATGTTTTAGGTTCTGAGATAGCTTAGCAGGAATACCTTTCTAAATATGTACTATGCAGAAAGTTAAGGAGTAAACTGCAAATTCCCACGAATTGAGCATTTTTTCACCCAGAAATCTTATTTAAGGTTTTGAGATAGCTTAGCGGGGATGTCTACTCTAAAGATGATTGTGCTGTACAAACTTTGCTGGCATTACCAGTAAAGTGGAAGCATATGCTGCTACTGTATGTCATTTTGACAGTTCAGTGCTACAAACATCTGAGTTGTTTCCTAATGTTTATATGTTATGCATATATTGTTTGGGCACGTAAGAAAACGTCCCTCCCCCCTCTCGCTTCTTTTATGACCGCTGATAAGTTGCATTGGATTCTTTTGCATGAGTGCTTTCATGTGATTAATGCGTTACTTTTTAAATTACAGGTATAGTCCTTTCCTTATGGGCTGCTACAACCCTGACACTGAGGAATTCCAGAGTGTCTGCCGGGTCATGTCTGGGTTTTCTGATTCATTCTACATAGAGGCGAGTTCAATAACGATATAACTTGATTACCATGTTCTACATCTTAGTCTTGGACATGTAGATACTAGTATTGGCATTCTGGTGAACAAACTCTCCTTTGATTAACTTGTCTTTTGATC